CCAAAATCGCAGCCCTCGGTTCGCAACGGGAGCACTATCTTAGTCATGCAGCGGCCGTGGGCATATTACCATCTTGCTGCAGAAAGAGTGCTGTCCCCTTGTCGTAGCTGCCGACAGCTTCCGGTCTCTCTCACCTCCGCGTCGTCTGTCGAAAGCTGATGGAGGCAAAATCTCGGAGCAGGCGGCGCACATCCAGCAAGCTCTCAACATGGTACTCGGCCTGACTGTACGTGTTTCCCACATGCACGGTGAAGACTTTCGCGTCCCGGGCCATCAGCGGCATGTCCCGCCCTATCCCAGTGCTCACCCCCCCCTTCGGGGTGCAGGGCCTGCTGCTCAGCATCAGCGCATTCTCCGTGACAGCCTCGTCCTCCAGCGTCAGGTGGTCCATCTGGGGGCCGAGGCTCGGGCTCGCGAGATCTCCTCTCTCCAGCCCGCCCTCACACATCTCCCTCCCGCCCTTCTTCTCCGCGTGAGAATCCTCTTGCCTTCGGCACGGCTCCCCAATGACAGGGGGTTTCTGCTGCGCGTCTTGTGACTGCTCCATCCCCGACGGGTTCGGGCACGACTCGGTGAACGCGCTGTTCGACGCCGACTCCCGCCCGAGCCCGTCCCCGGCCGTGGGCGTCGACACGCTCCGTGGAGTTGCACTCGAGGGCCGCAGCTCTGGCTGCCCGCCCCCCGGGATCGAGTCCAAGGGGATGAGGTCGGGTCCCACGTGGGAGGAGAAGGGGGTAAGGCCGCCGTGCGAGAGAGGGTGCGACCCGCCTACCGAGGAAGGGGCCGTGAAACGCGCCGCTTCCCCCCGCAAAATCTTCAGGACCTGGAACATGTCCTCGTCGGTCCGGTCGTCGCCCACGCAGAATACAAAGTCGAGGGGCGTGTCCGAGTTCTTCGCCCCCCGGGACGGGTCCGCCATGTACCGGAGGACGCTTTCCACCACCATCCCCTTGCTGGCGCCCTGGTGCCTCACCTCCACCATCCGATTCCCCTGGATGATCTCCAGCGGCAGGTTCGAGAGCACGTCTTCCAGCTGAATCTGCATGTCCTTGGCTTGCCAGGAGCCGAAATTCGGATCCGCGTCCCGGTAGTGCCAGGTCAGACTCGACTCCTTCTTCTCGATGTAAGTGCCCGGCGTGCGCTCCGTAAAGTACTCGAGGATGGGCCGAACGATGTCCCGCCAAGACGTGTCTACCTCCGGCGCCATGGTCTGCCACTCCTCCTCCTCCGGCATCCGGTAGTAGAAGCCGTACTCGGCCGCCAAGGCCATCTTCAGCTTGCCCAGCCACGTGTCCATGAAGCGCTTCTCCCGGCCTGACACGATCACCACCGTGTTGCGCGGGTCCTTGCTCAGGGAGTCCAGCAGGTTGGTGATGTAGGGCGACGGGGTGGCGAGCTGCGGGACGGACTGGAGCTGAGTGAGGGTGCCGTCGTAGTCCGCGACGATGAGCCGGTTCCTGGCCCGCTCGTAAGCAGAGCGGGCGAGGTCGAACGGCAGGCGCGGGAGCTTGGACAGGTTCGGCTTGTTGGCGCAGACCGTGCGCAGCTCCGCGACGAAGGACTTGGCCCAGGAGGAGGCCGTGTTCACGGAGACGTAGCGGGAGAGCTTGTGCTGCCGGATCTCCCGCTCCGCCCGTGAAAGTGTGAGTGCCTGCTGGATGGCGTGGCAGACCTCCTCTGTGTTCCAGGGGTTGATGCGGATAGCCCCGCTCAGAGACTGCGCGCTGCCCGCAAACTCGCTGAGGACCAAGACACCCGGCCCGTCCTTCTGGTGCACGCCCGGCATGTCTCTCTGCGCGGCCACGAATTCGTACGAGACCAGGTTCATTCCGTCCCGCAGAGAAGTGACCAGGCACACGTCGGCCATGTTGTAGATCGCCACCAGCTCCTCCTGCGTGATGCTCTGGTTGATGTAGTGCACCGGGGCGTACTCCAGGTTCCCGAAGGTCCCGTTAATCCTGCCCACCAGCTCGTTCACGCGCTCCGACAGCCGCTGGTACTCCGGTACTTCGGTCCGCGAGGGCACTCCCACCTGGATAAGCGTCACCTTCCCGCGCCACTCCGGGTGCCGCGTCAGGAACAGCTCCAGCGCCAGCAGCTTGTGCGGCATGCCCTTGATGTAGTCCAGCCGGTCGACTCCCAGCAGCACCTTTCGACCCGCGAAGGTTTCCGTGAGTTCCGCGATGCGCGCGTGGACCGCGGGCCGCTGGAGGATGTGGGCGATGTGCTCCGGGTCGATCCCAATGGGGAAGACGCCCAGGGACATGAAGTGCGAGGCGTACTCCAGGCCCCGCGGGGTGGTGTCCACCTCCAGGACACGGGCGCAGGCCGAGAGGAAGTGGCGGGCGTAGTCGTAGGTGTGAAAGCCGAGCAGGTCCGAGGCCAGGAGGGCCTCCAAGAGGGGCTTGCGCACGGGGAGGATGCGGTAGATCTCCGAGGAGGGGAAGGGTGTGTGCAGGAACCAGCCGATGTTGGCGTGCTTGAAGCGCTGTCGAAGTTCCAGGGGCAGCCACATGAGGTGGTAGTCGTGGACCCAGATGTAGTCGGACTCGACCCAAATCGCCGCCACCGCGTCGGCGAAGAGCACGTTCGCCTCCCTGTACGCGTCCCACAGCACCGTGTCGAAGCGCTTGTCGGAGCCCGCCTCGGACTGGTAAATGGGCAGGGGCATGTAGTGGAAAAGGGGCCAGAGCACGTCGTTGGAGAAGCCGTTGTAGTACTTGTTGACCAGCTCGTCCGAGAGGAAGACGGGCACCGCGTTGTACTCGCGCAGAAGCTTCTCCCGCACCTGCTCCCGGTCCTCCTCTGGTATCTCCTGCCCCAACCAACCGATCCACACCGCGTTCAACTCCTCCCGCGACCCCTTCAAGGCCGTAACCAGCCCACCCGAGGACATCCGAAAGTCCCACTCCCCGGTCTTCTCGTCCCGCCCGCCCGACACCGGCAGGCGGTTGGCGACGATTATCACGCGGTGCTTTGCCACGCTTTCCGACGCCTCCCCCGCGGCACCGTTCTCCTCGCCCGTGTCCCGCTTCTCCTGCTCGCTCTTCACCTTCCAGAGCTGGCGCTGAAGCTCCTGAATGTTGGCCAGGATGGCTTGCTCCTGGAGGGACATGACCTCATTCGGCGTCTTGCCGCGCTTCGTGACCTGGGCCTCGTCCGCGACGGCCTTCAGCAGCTCCTCCGCCCCCAAACTCCAGCAGTGCCGTTAAAATACGCATCGCAATGCGCGTGCAAGTCAA